CCAACTTCAAAATGTGCAGAGAACAAGAAAAAGTTGTTAACGAAAGAGTATATTCAGATGACCAAAAACCACATGAGGAAATGCTCACAATCACTAGCAATTATTGTTTACTGTCAAGTACAACTCATAGCGACCCTAATGAACAACAGATCTGAACCCTGTTCTATCCTATACCATCCTCATCATGTCTAACATACCTGAACCCATTGCTGTAATCACTGTGTCAATCTATTTGCTTGAAGATCTTGCTCTCTTTTACTGATCCTCCACTTTTCCAAGTATGATGTCCCTTCCCAAGGATGAGCCTCTCCTAGCAACCTGCTCCAAAGTATGAGAGATGAAGCTTTGTCATCTTCATCCTCAAAGAGCACTCTGCTCTTTTTCCATGTTCTATCTGTTCTTTTGGCAGTTCATAGGCTGTTCAGTACTCTTCTTTAGCACCACAGCTCAAAGGCATCAATTCTTCTCCTGCATCCTTATCCTTGTTCATCTTGCAGATACATAGAAAGGTACTGAAATCAGACATACCAAAGTCCTCAAATTGACATTCTTTTGCCTTAGTAATTTAGAGATATCTCTGACTGCACACTTTCCCAATGAAATATGTCTCCTGATCTCCCGACTGCTAGTACCAATTGTGTTAATTGTAAATCCAAATAAAATTAAATCATTGACAATTTCAATCTTTTCTCCATCTATCATGATGTTGCCTATTGGTCCAATGATGAGAATTTATGTTTTCTTCATGTTGAGATGTAATCCATATGGAATAGTGTAGTCTTTGATTCTCTGCACCAAATGTGTTAAGTTCTCCCTTATTTTCAGCAAGCTAGGTTGTGTCATTTGCTTAACGCAGGTTGTTGATGAGTCATCCTCTGATCCTGATGCCACATTCTTCTTTGTAGAGTCCAGCGTCTTTAATTATTTACTCAGCATACAGATTGAATAGGTGAAGGGCTATAATTCTGATGCCTGTCTTTCTTCATTTTAAACCACGCAGTGTTACCTTGTTCTGTTCAGACAGCTTTTTCTTGGTCTATGTATAGGTATAGGTTTCATATGGGCAAAATCAAGTGTCTGGGTTTCTGTGCTTAGACAAATTTGGTATGATCCACACAGTTAAATGCCTTTACATAGTCAGCAAAACACCAACAGATACTTCAGCAGGGATCCATCAGCAATGCTATTAGGCTGTCATCAGTGATGCACTTCACGGTGCCACGGCCTCTTCTAGCCCAGCTTGAACTTCCAGTAGTTCTTTATCAATGTACTGTTGTAGCCATTTTTGTAAGATCATCAATATTTTGCTTGCATGTGATATTAATGATTCAGTATTTCCATGGTTCAATAATTTCCACATTCTGTTGAATTACCTTTCTTGGGAATGGAGACAGATACAACTCTCTTCCCATCAATTGGCCAGGGAACTGTCCTCTGAATTTTCTGGCACAGATGGTTGAGCATGCACAGAGCTGCATTTGTTAACTGAAGCATGTCAACTGATATATCATTGATTCCTGGCACCTTACTTGTTGCCAGTGCATTCATTGAAGCTTGAACTTTCTTCATTACCTTTAATTCTTGATCTGAAATGTTTCAATGTTGACCAGTTCTTTTTGGTACAGTGACTGTGTATATTCCCTCCATCCTCTTTTGAGCTTCCTAGATCATTCAAGATTTTTCTCATTTTATCTCTCAGGATGGCAACTCAAAATTCAAGATCATTTTTTAATTCTTTCCATTTGAGAAACCTGAGTGAATTCTTCCCTTTTTATTCTCCAATTCTAGCTCTCTGCACATTCCATTATAATACTTTACCTTCTCTAGCTACCCTTTGAAATCTGCTCAGCTTTTTTTACTTAAGTCTCTCGTCCTTTTATTTTGGCTTCTCAATGCTCTGGTTCAATTTTCAAAATATCTCCTGACACCCATTTTCGGTGTTTCTTTCTCTTCTGTGTCTTTGTAATGACCTTTTTCTCTCTTCATGGATGATATCCTTAATGTCATCCTACAATGCATATGGTCTTCAATCAGGGATGTCCAAGGCCTCAGACTTATTCTTAAAATTATTTTTTAATTCACACAAGAAATTAGAGACAGATGCACATCAAAACAATGATGAATATACTATTTTATCCTAGGAACAATAGCAAAGTTTAACAGGAAAGCAAACAATAAGTGTTGGTGAGTATACAAAGATATTGGAACTCTCATACACTGCTTTTGGGAATTTAAAATTATACAATGACTATGGAAGGAAATTTGGCATTTCCCCAAAAGAGATGAAACTAGAAATCTCATTTTACCCAGCTATCCCACTACTGATAATATACCTGAAGAAAAGCCAATCTGAGACATGAACAGACGTATGTTTATTGCAGCATTAGTCACAATATCAAGAAGATGGAAACAACCCAAATGCCCATCAATGAGTGAATGGATAGAGGAATTGTCAATGGAATACCATGCAGCATTAAAAAAAACAAGAACTCAAAAAACATGACACAGCATGAATGAGTCTAGAGAACTTATGCAGAGTGAAAGAATTCAGTCATAAAGGGACAAGTCCTCTACAAGACTGCAGTTGTAAAAATAGGAGGGAGAGTGGGAAGTAGGTTCTAGGGACAGCAGAAATAGAATATATTGACAATGAGCAGTGCAAAGTGTCAGGGAAAGGGAAGTCAACTTGGAAAGAAAGGACAAACAAAATGGGTATTTCAATTAACAGCTTGGAATATATATAAAGGTATAAAAAAGTAGAGGGAAGGGAGAAAAAAAATACTTGGGAAACAGATTAGTGGGTGGGTGGATGGATGAAGTGAAGGAATAGATGAGGTACAGTGAGGATCTGAGGACACATTGTGATTAAAGGAATTGATCAATTGCAAATTATATTCTAAGGATATATATATAAATGTTTGAAAGAAAATAAACTTTAAAAATTCAGTATGTGGAATTATAACGGTTTTCATTATCTGTAGTCATGCTCTTTCCTGTTCCTGCCATTTTATCTCTTTAAGTATCTGATTATCTTTGTGTTCCAGGCATTGCCTTTGAAAACATGTCTCTAGAAGTTGAGGTCTTAGGAATGATCTATCTTCTACTTGAAAGTACATTTATTTGCTTCTAAAAATCATCTGGAGATCCCAGCAACCTGGGATTATTTTAATCCAATTGCAAAGAACTATGACTTTGGGGGAGCTCTGATGGCTTAGTGATAAGGAATTACCTTGCCAACCCAAAGGCATACAGTTCAAATACACCAGCTACTCCAATGGGAGAAAGATGGACATTCTTCTCCTGTGGGGTTTATGGTCTCTGGAAAAGTTCCAACTCAATGCTACATAACAACTAACAATGATTTTTCTAGGCACCTCTAGAAGCATACTGGTGGAGCTGCATTGCCAACCTAAAGGCACATGGTTCTAAATCACCAGTTGCTTTGTGGGAGAAAGATGGGCAATCTCCTGTGTTATTTCCTGCCTTTAAAAGCCCACTGGAGGGTCAGCTAGGAGTTGGTTCTGACTCAACAGTACATAATGTCAACAACAGAATTTTTCTGGGCCACTCCAATTACTTGAAGAGCAATTCCAGTCTATGAGATAGCAGGTTTATCTTCAACTAACCTTAATTCCCAGGATGTTGCTCTTGGTGGCCCCTGTATGAACCAAAAGGTATATCTACTTTTGGCTGTTCTAGAACTTTAGCTTTTGTTTCTTAACTTCATGAGACTACTGAAATCTGCTCAGGCTCTCTGTGACTACCTCCTGATTCAGCATTAAACATTCTCAGAGACAAACATCCCAAATGCCTAACCTTTCCCTCAATTTTCGTCTCTTCCCATATTTGGCGCAGTAATGTTTCACGAGTTTGTTTGCACACTAACACTTTCATTAATATTTTTTTAGTGTCCAGCTTTATCCAGCTTTCTAGTCTTTTGCAAGAGGTAAAGAGGAAAAAGGAAGAGAAATGTTTGAACTCTAAATTTTCAAGATCACTGATACCAGTAGCAAAAGATTTCTTGGAATTTTCAAATATATGTTTATTTTTAGCTGGGATTATTTAGCATTATGGTAATATAATGAGGGAGCTCTGGTGGCCTAGTAGCAAGAAACTGCACTGCAATCCCAAAGACTTGTGGTTCTAGGCCACCAACTGCTCCACAGGAGAAGGGTGGTCAGTCTTCTCCTGTGTGATTAACTGCCTCTGAAAACTCACCAGATGGTCAGCTATGGGTTGGTTCTGGCTCCGTGGTGCACAACAAGTAATATAATGGACTTTGTGCTACTACTTCTAGATTTAAAATTTTGTGGGCTGAAATATGATCACTTCTGCACATGTATCATGTTTTACGATCCATCTTTCACATCTAAAATTACATTTGTAAATACCCTTACATGAAAATTGATAGACTTGGTCCATGAAATTTAGTACTTTCCTGACGGGTTTATTGGGCCTAGCTTTCTAAATTTTCTAGAATGAATATTGTTCATTTATAATTTCTATTTCTATCCTCTAGATTTTAAAAATGTTTAACATAGTGTTAATCCGTAAGTAGTCATATATATAACTATATTCCGCTTTAATTTTGTATTACGTGATGTACACTTGATTTTCTCTTACAGCTTATAACAAAGTACGTACTCTTCTGTTTAACTTTTTAAGATGCTATACTCAGTTAAAACAAAAAGTGAAAATTAAAAGGCAGATAGAAAAGTGTAGGGGAAGACTGTAAACATTGCTTTAATATGATGGAAGAATTCCTTTAAGTTACGGAAATGTGGATTGTAATAATAAATGTATATGTTTATAGAAAATAACATAAAATAACATAAGCTATTATGTCACCTAAATTACAACTTTGTAAAATTTTATTTACCTCTTACCAAACAATAAAAGCCATCAATGAATATAAACAAAGTTCCAATTTAGTGACTCACTAGAATATTTCCAATTGTTATTTAAATTCACTGTGATTTAACATACTGTCCCTTTCCCAGGTATTCTCTGTGAACCACCCCCAGCCATCCTCAATGGATACTTCTCTAACAAGCAAAAAGAATATTTTGAATATGGAATGGTTGTGACCTATCACTGCAATGCGGTACGAAAGGGGAAGAAACAGTTTTCCCTCGTCGGCAAGTCGTCAATATATTGTACCAGCACAGACAAAGGACATGGCATGTGGAGTGACCCTCCCCCAGAGTGTATTCCACCTCCTAATACATGCACACCTCCAAAAATTGAAAATGGAGTCAGGGTATCTGTTGATAGAAGCCTGTTTTCCTTATATGAATCTGTGAGGTTCGAGTGTCAGCCTGGCTTTCTCATGAAAGGATCCGACAGTGTGCAATGCCAGACTCAAAACAAGTGGATCCCAGAGTTGCCAAGCTGCTCCAAGGGTGAGTCTGACTAGAGTTTTGCAGGAACCTACAAATGGCATGAGTTGTTGAGGAATCGGTGGCTTAGTATTGGTTATGGAGGAAGGGTGTGTAGTGAGTGAATTCTCCCAAGAAGGACCATGAAATTAAGGAATGGGGGTGGGGGGTGCAGGGTGTGAAGTCATATTTCCTTGCACGTGCCTTCATTTCAAGAAAAAAGGACTAAAATAGATAAGAGAGGAAGCATCTAGGAGGCTCATATTGAGCAACTCTGAGGGCAATGTATCATCTCCAGTCTATCAAAGTTGTATCCAGTTATCTCACAGTATATCAAAGGAACGAGTTATCTCCAGTGTATCCAGTTATGTCAAATGTGGACTTAGTCTATGGTTAGCCCTATGATAACCTTTACTGTTATGCACTGTCATGCCAGGGCTGACTCATAATGACCCTCCAGTAGGCTTTTCAGAGGCAGTACATAGCACAGGAGTAGACTGCACACCCTTCTCCAGCAGAGCAATTGGAGGATTCAAATCACATGCCTTTGGGTTGGCAGTCCAACTTCTTATCACTAGGCTACCCAAGCTCCAGAAATGAGGCCATGAGGTGATAACCTCATTTCATCTTACATGCATTGGCTCATTTACTTTTTCACAACAGTTTTTTGAAATATGATTATTCATATCCCCATCTGACAGAAATACTAGCTTGATATTTTTTTTTCATCAAGGCTTTTCATTCAGACAAATGGCTTAAACAACTGTGGCTCATTCACCTAAAGAGATACTATACATTATTTTTTCCCCCATTCATTCATTGTTGCACTTTTCTCCCTGCCCACCCCTCCCCACCAGTACACTCCCATCTTTGAAAAGTAAAAGAAAAATTCTTTCATTGTTTTATAATCCCTCCCCCCAGGTCCACTCCACTAGGCAGCCTTTATTCTAGACTCCTGTTATGACGATAATATAATCACATATCCATTTTAAACAGTTTTCTCCCTCATCTGTTTCAATGCAGTATATGTTATTTATCCCATCTTTCTAAGTCTCTCCCCAACCCCTATCTCAGTCCTGTTTTACGACAGTGGCACCATGCAGTATTTGTTCTTTTGTGACTGAGATACTTCACTAAGCATAATGTCCTCTAGGGTCACCCATTTTTAATAATATTGCATGAGTTCCTTGTTTTTCAATGCATTAGCTTGATAGTTCAGATGCTACTTATCTAAGGCACATGCTATCCAGTAGCATACCCAGGATTAAAAGGCAAGTACAAAAGGACAAATATTGCATAAGGCTGTTGTAAATGGGACTGACATCAGGGTTGAGGGAAGACAGAGAAGGAAGGGAGGAATGATGTATACTGCATTGAAACAGACGAGGGAGAAAATTGTTTAAAAGGGATATATGATTGGACATTATTGTCATGACAGGAGTTCAGAATGAAGGCTGCATGGTGGGGTGGACTTTGGGGAAAGGATTGCATAACAATGAAAGAGTTTTTCTTTTACTTTTCAAGGAGAAGAATGAATGGAGGGAGGCAGTGAGCAGGGAGAAAAGTGCAACAGTGAATGACTGGAAACCCTAAGTCTCTATAGACTTTCATTAAAATTAATTTAAATAATAAAAAAAAAAGAATGCAAGTACGTTAGACCAGAGTTTGAATGGTCTGGTGCAACAATGAATGAATGGTCTAGTTCTTGTTCTACTTCTGTTGACATCTATCAGTGCAGGAGAGCAATTCATTTATGGGCCATGAGGACAGGTATCACAACATGAAAATAGGGGCTAAGACTTTGGATTGTGTCTACCCTGGCTCATCTCCTACATTTGATCATTGTGTTGTGTTTGTTGTTGTGTACCATCCAGTTGGAACTGACCCATAGCTGACCCTCCAGTGGGTTTTCAGAGGCAGTTAATCGCATGGGAGGAGATTACCCATCCTTCTCCTGCAGAGCAGCTGGTGGACTCGAACCATGTGCCATTGGGTTTGCAGCACAGCCTCTCGGCATTCAGCCACATTTAATCATTAAAAGTCAGAAATTAAAAATTACAGTAACTTGCTAGCTTGAATTTCAAATGAGGTCTGATACCCATGGAAGCTGACAGAATTTGAAAGACACCTTCCCTAAGCAATATGCTTCTCATTACATGGTTTGGCTTTTTTTTAGGAGATGTATTCTCAATGGCTTTCCTTGTCTTCTTTGGCTGCAGCTGCTAGCTCAGCTGTGAATTGGAAAGTATTATGTCTGATAAACAGAGACCAAGAAAGGGCTTACAGTTCCTACACCCATCATGTCAGCCTTGTGTAACCACTTAGAAAACAGCAGAGAAGACATCAATTAAAACTATCATGAAAAAAGCAGTAGGAATGATGAAGGGAAATGCATTAGAAAAGATTTGGTGATTTCCAGATTGCCTGAAAAATCAGACTGTATGCTGGGATTGCATTTTAAAAGAAATATGCTGGAAAAGAAGTCCACAAATACTAGTCACCCAGATAGGGGTAGCCAACTCCAGAAGAAAGAAGATAAAGACGTGAGCTAAAGAAGTCTCTGTATCTTAGACCTTGGCCTAAGACATGGGTTCTGATTATTTACTTCCTACTAGGGAGCTCTGGTGGCCTAATGGTATGTTGCCATTCCGAAGGCAGGTAGCTCGAATGCACCATAGGAGAAAGACAGGCATATCTCCTCTTGTACAGCTTGTGTTGTTTTGTTGTTGAGTACCTTCAAGGTGAAACCCACCTACAGCTGCCTCTCCAGCAGGTTTTCAGAAGCAGTAAATCTCACGGGAGGAGATTGCCCAGCCTTCTCTCGCAGAGCCGCTGGTAGATTCAAACTGTGTGTATCCCTCTGAAAAGCTGAGGGAGGGTCAATATGAGCTGGTTCAGACTCAATGGTACACAGCTACTAGCTAGGTTTCCTCCCTGTTCTTAACTTCCTCAGGAGTAAAATGAGCAGAATGGAGAATCATTTAGCTTTCTTTTTTATATTGAATACTTCTAATTATGATTCTCTAAGAAGTTAGCAAATCAGACTCTCCCATTATTGTGGTTGTTGTGTGCTGTCGAGTCGGAACTGACCCATAGCTGAGCCTCCAGCAGGTTTTCAGAGGCAGTTAATCACACCTGAGGAGATTCCTCATCCTTCTTCCACACAGCAGCTGGTGGATTTGAAGCATGTGCCTTCAGGATGACAGCGGTTTCTTACCACTAGGCCACCCGAAGCTCCCTTGTCCCATTATGAATGGATATTTTATAGGAATCCCTGGGTATTGCAAATGGTTAAGCCCTGGCTTACTAACCAAAAGTTGTCAGTGAGCTCTGGTGGCCTAGTGGCAAGAAGCTGCACTGCAATCTCAGAGGTACACAGTTCGAATCCACCAGATGCTCTGCTGGAGAAGGAGGAACAGTCTCCTCCTGCATCAGTCAGATCTGATTTGATGGTACACACATACACAAAAAAAGAAATTAAAAAAAAAAAGTTGTCAATTCAAAATCACCAAGAGGCCCCTGAGAAGAAAGGAGGCTGGTGATTCAAGCAGCACAGCTGTGAAAACTCCTGGGGGCACAGTTCTGCACTGACTCCTGGGATTGCCGGAGGTTGGAATGAACTTTTAGGTTTGAAAGGGGATTTTGGACCTGTTCTTTCCACAGCATGTCCGCCACCACCAGCAGTCCTGCAGGGGAAGCATACTCCAAATGACAAGAAGAACTTTTCCTCTGGAGATGAAGTGTTCTACAGCTGTGAGCCTGGCTATGACCTCAAAGGAGCTGCCTCTCTGCTCTGCACCCCCCAGGGAGCCTGGAACCCTGCAGCCCCCAGCTGTGAAGGTGCATACATTCTCTTTTCACTTGGCATCTTTAGCTTGTGTCTCTATCCTCCTGGTGCCAATATTATTTCTTTTGTTTTCTTTCTTCCTCAGTGAAATCATGTGATGACCTCCTGGACCGGCTCCCTAATGGCCGCGTACTCTCTCCCCCAAGTCTCCAGGTTGGGGCAAAAGTGTCCTTCATATGTGATGAGGGGTGAGTGTACACTTACCTGACCTGAAAAAGAGGCCAAGAGTGAAGTGATGCACACTGATACTTGAGACAATGATGTTTGTCCAATAAGAGAGGCTAGTAGTGGAAAAAAATGCTAAGAGACACTTTCCAAAGGATTATTGAAATGTGCACATAGTAAGAACAGAATGGAACCATTAAGAGCAAACATTATAAAAGCAAAGTAATTAGTATACAGAACAGCAGAAATACAGCAATGGATTATGTATAAAATGTGAGGAGGATGGATAAATAATAATTTCTAGGTATAAAGAGAATATTCTAGAGGAGTTTGCTAAGAAATAGTTTAATATGTAAGAAAGTTGCTTGTAAAATAACATATGTTACTGTAATAGTTTCTGGAAACTTTTCACCCCACCGATAATGTAATGTGAAATAAGAATGAAAGAATAGGTAGTAGTATTTTTTAATCAATTATATATCATTTAATTAGTATTAGACTGTGGTAATGGGAGCAAGGTGTCTAATATTAATGTTCCAAGTAAGATCATTAACTCTTTTTTTAATCAAAACGGTCTTGGTTTTTTTGTCCCAGCTCTATGTGCTAAGTAAAATATATGGGCTTTAAAGCAATTTTCTTGATACATTCTAAAGATTCCTGGACAGACATCAGATTCCAGCCCCCAAGGAAGAGCAAGAGGGAAGTCAGGAGGTCAGTGCTGTTATGTGCCATCAAGTCAACTACAATTCATAGCAACCCTATGAACAATGGCGCTGAACCTTGTCCTATCCTGAGGCAACCCCACTGTCTTAGAGACATCTGACTCCACCACCACAGTCATTGTGTCAATAAATTGGATGTTTTAAAATCATTTCCTCAAAAGGGAACTCTCTTCAAAACAACTATGAGACATAATCTCACCCCAGTAAAAATAGCAAAATTTTACAGAACAGCAAGCAATAAACGCTGGAGAGGTTGTGGAGAAACTGGAACCCATATTCACTCTTGGTGGGAGAGTAAAATGGTGCAACCACTGTGGAAGACGGTGTGGCGTTTTCTCAAAAAGTTGCAAATAATGGGAATAAACCCCAAAGAGACCAAAACTGCCACCCAAGCAGATATATGCACACCCATGTTTATCACGGCTTTGTTCACAATAGCAAGGAGTTGGAATCAATATAAGTGCCCATCAACAAATGAATAGATAGAGAAGCTGTGGTATATTCACACAATGGAATACTATGCTGCATTGAAAAACAAGGAAATCATGCAATATTATTCAAAATGGATGACCCTGGAGGACATTGTGCTGAGTGAAATATCTCAGTCACAAAAGGACAAATACTGCATGGTGCCACTGTTGTAGAACGGGACTGAGATAGGGGTTGGTGGGAGACTGAAAAAGATGGGATAAATAATGTATACTGCATTGAAACAGATGAGGGAGAAAACTGTTTAAAAGGGATATGTGATTAGGTATTATTGTCATGACAGGAGTCCAAAACGAAGGCTGCATAGAGTGCACCTAGGGGGAAGGATTATAAAACAATGGGGGAACTCTTATTTTTCAAAGAGAAGAGTGTACTGGGGGGGAGGGGTGGGCAGTGAGAAAAGTACAACAATGAATGAATGGAAATCCAAAGTCTCTGTAAATTTCCATTAAAATTAATTTTAAAATTCTTACAAAAAAAAAAAGGAAACTCTCTTCTCACCTTTCCCCCACCTCTGGCCGAGAGGCAAGAAGCTGCGCTGCAATCCCAAAGACACTCGGTTCAAATCCACTAACTGCTCAGTGGGAGAAGGGTGGGCAATCTCCTCCCATGCAATTAACTGCCTCTGAAAACCTGCCAGAGAGTCAGCTATGAGTCTAACTCCATGGTACACAACAACAATGTAGTTTTAGCCTTCCATAATCTAGCATTATGTCACAAATTCCACTCAGTAATATTCCAAATGTCGTGGCAAGAGTGCTGTTGTTGCTGATAAGTACCTCAAGTCAAGTATGACTCGTAACAACCCTACAAACAACAGATCTGAACCCTATCCTATCCTGTGCCGTCCTCATCATCTCTGCACACTTGAGCCCATCGCTGCAGCCGCTGTATCGATCCAACTATTTTGTCTTCCCTTGTTTCTCTGACCCTCCACATTTCCAAGCATAATATTCCTTTCCAAACAACAGCCTCTCCTAGCAACATCGCTGTGTCCACACTTATTCCAAGGCAATGTCTTGGTCACCGATATCTCTCCTAATGCTCAGTGCTTCAAAAATTTAAACCAGAAGCTGTTTCCTGCCCTGATCTACCATCTAAGAGACTGAAAGGCTGAGTTTTACATTAGTAGAGAAAGTTCTTACCAACAACCAAATGGAGCAATCAGGGGAAAGTGGCCTCTTGTGGGTGCGGGCCCAGGAAAACACCTGCCTATTGCAGGGCCTGCCTGTTGCATCTGCCTTCTTCAGTTGCTACTGTCTGTCCGATGACTAAGCTTTGACAACCATTGCTTTGTCTCTCACTGGGGGCAAAAATCTTTCCAAGCCTCTGGTAGTTGAAAAACCAAATAAGTTGAAGTTGTTCTTCTGAGCTTTAATATAAAATATTTACATTTTATCTTAACAGAAAGGAGGAAGCTGAAACCTGCAGATGAGAAGAGCAAAGTGATGGGCTCACTCATTTACCACTACTTTTATTATGTTTCAGGTTCCGTTTAAAAGGCAGTGCTGTTAGCCACTGTGTCTTGGTGGACATGAAAAGCCTTTGGAATAGCAGTGTTCCTGTATGTGACCGTGAGTAGAAGAAATTTGTGTTAGAATTTGTATCATTCTCCTTGGTTTTTTTTCTTTTCTTAATATATGTTGCCCCATTGAATGATCAATTGTTTTCCTTTTGCCAGCTTTTTATAGAAATAGTTATTTCTTGGAAGAATTACAAAGTGTGTTATTTGATAGTTCATTCTGCAGTTGTGTGTTATTGACGCCAATCTGTAAATTTGTACAGACACAGTGTATGCTGTAAACTGGGAGATGTATTTCAGAAGTGGAGAGGAATTTATGGCATGATGCTTCGCCAGGTTTTTCATTTTTGTGAAGCAGTAATCACCCTTCAATTTTTCTATCCTTTTGTCTGTCATTTGTTCATTCTTTCAACACATTTTAAACACTTGCTGTGTGTTCCGAGAACAGCAATTACACCAATGAGTAAAACATACATGGCCTCAGCTCTCATGTTTATATTTTTATGCAGAGAGAAAGACCAAGACATGTAAGCAAGCAAGCCTTAGATAGGGAATTATAAACTATTAAGTTCTAAAAATTGATGCCTTTCGGAGTTTTTAAACAGATCATACTAAGGGCCTGGGGCATGAAATTTCCTGGAATTTTCTACATAAAATCTGTACCTGGCTTTTCCTGAGCAGCTCTTATGGTTAGAACTGAGTGAGCAAATAAAGGAATAGCAGGGAGTGCAAAAGAGTCATAACACTCTATCAAGTAAGATGGATTTCTCACTTTGAGCCAGATAGAAAACCATTAGAAGAGGAAGTAAATAACACCATCTGATTTTTTAAAATCACTTTGGCTCCTATAGAGAGAACTGGGCTGAGAAAGCTCCCCAGAAAACCATACCAGAGGCAAAATTGAAATGATAAACTTAATTAGAGCATATAGTTTCTGGGCATCAAGAGTGAAGGAGAATTTTTTTAAGGCAGAAAGGAAAGGTAAGCAAATAAATAAAAGATGTTGGCCACATGGGCCATCCCTATACAGGCCCTGTGGAATCAGAATCATCCATTAGGAAGAGAAAGAGCAGACAATTTATCTGCTGGCTCCTCGCTGTCTCTTGTTCACTACAGGGGTGTTAACCTGACCTCAGGTTATGTTATCTCATTCTTCTGGGCTGACTGAGGTAACCAAACCCTGTTTTGCTTTATCTAAGCCCAGAAGTAATAGAAGGAACTAGAGCCTCCATGGAACCAATCAGACTTAAAGGCTAGAACTGTCAAATCAGAACTGACGCAGAGCGGACCTCCAGTGGATTTTTCAGCAGGTTGTAAATGACAAGGGAGAAGATAACTCATCTCTCTCCCTTGGAGCTGCTGCTGGATTTGCACCAAAGAGACTTGGGTTATCAGCACAACTCCTCATGGATTACACAGAGTGCTTCTCCATTGTAGTGCACAGAATAGAAGCATATAGGAGCCCTTTGCTGACCACTAGGGAGGCTGTGACAGCTGATGGTCTTGGGAAATGGAGTAACAGTGTTAACAGCCAGTGCTCTCTACAGTGAGAAAGCAATTGATGACCTAAAAAGCATATGTGGCCAAGCACATCTGAGAGTGCTGGTGAGAGTATAAATTGGGAAACAATTATTATAATCTAATCACAGTTTTTTATGCAGGAGATGATAAAAGGTGAAATTGTGGGTGTATTTGAAGGTAGAGACTGATGACTAAGATAGAGTATGAGAGAAAGAGAGAAAATACAGATGACTCCAAGGCAAATCTGAGGATAGAATTTCCTTTTATAGCAAGGGAGAATACTGTGTGAGTAACTGGATTGAGCTTTAAACAAAAGTTTGGTATTCCTATTAGACATCCGAGTGGAGATATTTAGAAGATGTTTGTAAGTTATCATCATGTTGTTGTTGTTGTTTGCCATAGAGTCAGAGCCAATGCATAGATAACCTTCTGGCAGGGTTTCATAAGCAGTTCATTGAATGGGTGGAGATTGCCAATCCTTCTCCTGTAGAGCAGCTGGTGACTTCAAACTGCATGCCTTTGAGATTGAAGCACAGCTTCTTGCCACTAGGCCACCAGAGCTCCCTAGTTGCCATCATATCTGTTTAAAGTCATGAGACTAAACAGATGAGTGAGTGAGTCCTGGTGGCACAGCTGGCAGCGGGTCCAGCAGCTAACCAAAAGGACACACATCCCTAGCAGTTTAAATCCACCATCTATTCCATTGGAGGAAGATGGACAGTCTCCTCCCACTAAGATTCACAGCCTCTGAAAATTGATGGAGAATTGCCGTGATTTGGAGTTGACTCAATAACAGTGAGCGAGTGACTGATCCAGAGGCTGAAGCTGGATAATCTGGCGTTAAGAAGTTGGAAAGATAAAAGGAATTGGAAAGAGATTAAGAAGCAGCAACTACTGTGGTAAAATAAAAACCAAGGCCGGGAAGAGTCATGAAAGCTAGTGGGGAAGGTTTTTTTTATAAGAAATAAGATTTATCAACTGTTTGAAATCCTATAAACAGGTCAAATAAGAGGAGGACATGAAATTAACCATTGGATTTAGTAACATGTTGTTGTGGTTGTTGTTGTTGTTGGGTGCCATTGAGTCCAACTCATAGCAACTCTATGAACAAAAGATCTGAACCCTGTTCAATCCTGTGCCGTCCTCACACTTCCTGACACATAAGAACCCAATGCAGCACTCACTCTGTCAATCCACCTGGTTGAGGGTCTTTGTCTCCTTCGCCGACCCTCCACTCTTCCCAGCATCATGTCACTCTCCAAGAAATAATACCTCCTCGCAACAGGCCCAAAGTATGTGAAGAGAAACTTCATCATTCTTGCCTCCAAAAATCACTCCAGCTGCATCCTCTGCAAGATATAACTTAGTGCCATAGAGATGGCAAATAATATTAAATGACAAATGCCTGTTTGGAATGAGTTCAACGGAGAATAGAATGAGAGGATCTATGTCAGATCATGGGCAACATGCTTGAGCTTTAGTGTAAATAGGTTAAGTACACTGGTAGAGGGAAGTGGAAGATTTTCATTTTGGTTTTGAGATGTCAGTGTTTATATCCAAGAACACTCTACTAAAAAAAATCCACTTTGTTCATTTTTTCAGTTATGAAAGCAAGCAGGACATTGTTTCAATTTCTAATCATAGCTATCAAAAATATATGCATATAATAGGTTTTTGTTTAGATAAACATTTTGCTTTCCAGTTAGTGGGACCCCTTGTGTGAGTTTTTGTACTGAAACTTGGTTAATTATATATTGCATATTTGAATGTCAGTTAGTCAACAACTTTAACATTTCTACAGAGCATTAAAGAGGAGAAAGGCACTCTCCTAAATCTAAAGATATGCCTGAAAGTATTTACTTGAGTGCAAATATTGTGCAAATGGTCGATATGCTGATCTGCTAGCTGAAAGGAAACCAGTTGGCATCCGCCTAGATGTGACTATGAAGAAACACCAAACAATCTACTTCCGAAAAGTCAGTCCCTGAAGATCTTGTGCAACACAGTTCTGTTTTGACACACTTAGGGGTCATCATGAGTTGAGGTCTACTTGACAACAAATTAGTTGTTTAAGCATCAGGCTAACTATTCCAACCTTTCATTAGTTATAAATTGAGTTGTGTTTGTGAAAAATACTGAGTCTCCCATGAGCTATCAAAAGAATGATCCTTTCCCAAAGAACTGATCTTTTTCTGGTTCAAGAGCATAATGATTGGGTGTTCATGCTTTTATGTGCCACCCTTAAACCTTGTTACAACATGGGCACATTACCCGTCTGATGTGAAGGAAAAAAGAATGAACAAATCTGTCTTGGCAGAAGTGCAACCAGAGTGTTCCTTAGGAGCAAGGATGCTTAGACTTCATCTCACATACTTTGAACATGGTATCAGGAGCTCCAAGCATGCTGGAAAAGGACCCTGTGCTTGGAAAACCAGAGAGTCAGTGAAAGAAATAAAGACCCTCAGCAAGACGGATTGACAGAGTGATAACGGGCTTAATCGTCACAGAGATTGTGAGGATGGGACAAGATTGGGCAGGATTTTTTCTATTGTCCATGGAAGCACTATGAGTCAGAGCAGATCCAACAGCTTCTAGCAACAGCTGTTTAAGATGTAACATCCTCTTCCTATAACCAAGTCATGTTAGACTGGGGAAGGAGCTGCAACAAACATAACACTGAATGGAAAATGATGACTGTGGGGATTTTTACATTGTTTTTCAGTGAGAAAAGGCCAATGAGTATCTAAAAATAATCAGAGCTTCAAGACTTTGAGGAAATACATAGAAATATAAAATATTACAAAGTAGTACATGATAATGTCATTGTAATAATTCATTTTTATTTTGAGAAGCACAACCTTGAGATGTCAAGAAAAGATTAAGTTACTGATAGACAACTGGTAAGTCAAAATTCTTTTTAAAAAATTTCTTTAGGATAAAGATTTTTTTTATGTCAAGGATCATGTAAGTTCTCAAAAAATGTTTGTTAATAGATGGTTTTCCCTTTAATGTAGTTGCAATACTTTTATCTATTTTAAGGGACTATCAGAAATCTGAACTACATGAAGAGTCTAGAATACTTGAGTTTCTTTTGGATTTTTGTCATAAACATTGATTTAGGTGTTGTTTGATTTTGTTCCCACTCTGCACAGGCCTAATGCAATTATTTTATAGTTTATATTTTAATGAAAAGAAGGTATTTTTTTTAACTGACAACTCAGTTATAGCCTTCCAAAATCATGGAATCGCTTCAGATCACACCACTTTACACTCCCACCAGGAGTGAATAAGTGTTTCAATCTCTCCACTACATAGCCAGCATTTGTTGTTTGCTGCTCTGCTGAACTTTGCTATTGTTCCTGGGGTGAAATGATATTTCATAGCTGTTTTGATTTGCATGGAACTTAGAGCTCTTGTCTTCTTTCTAGGTATTTTTTGTCCAAGTCCTCCAGCTATTGATAATGGGAGACACACAGGAAAGCCTTTGGGGAACACTCCCTATGGAACAGAAATATCTTATACATGTGACTCTGACCCAGATAGTGGGGTGACCTTCCGCCTCATTGGAGAGAGCACCATCCGCTGCACAAGTGACAGTCAAGGCAAAGGCATTTGGAGCGGACCCGCCCCTCTCTGTGAACTTCTTGTTCCTGCTGGTCAGTACCAACTTCCGTGTATCCTAAAGGGGCTCAGAACATCAGGATCAAGCTTTCCTTGTACATGTTTAGAACATGGTCTGTGCACTTCGTCGTAAGTGGAAGTGGCAAAATGATGTGCCATCATTGAAACAGATGGGTTGCTGCAGTGCCAAGCTGTGTTTGAATTGGTGGAATGTTAACAATTCTAATGATTCTATGTGGAATGATGAGAATGGTGGAGTAAGGAAACTGAGAAGTGGAGTGAAGGGGAAAAGGGCAAGGTGCAAGTTACATAAATCAGGAAGAAATGTTTATTCCGTTGAGAGAACGTGTAAACAGCTACCTATGAACACTAAGGTCCTGGATGATGCAAACAATTTGCATTTGACTGCTAACCTGAAAGTTAGCAATTTGAGCTGGTACCCAGGAGGGCTCTGGTGGCCTGTGCTTCAATTCCAAAGGCACGCAGTTCAAGGCCACCATCAGCTCCACAGGAGAAGAAAGGACAGTCTCATTCTGTGCTATCAACTGCTTCTGAAAATCTGCTGGAGGGTCAGCTATGGGTCAGTTCTAACTCTATGGTACACCATAATAACAAACAACCCAGTAGGGCCAAGAAAGAAAAGCTTAGTGATCTGCTAAAAGTAAAGACTATAGTCAGGAAAAACCTTATGAATCTCAGTTCTACTCTGTAATGCACAGGGTCACTATGAGTCAGGATTTACTTGAGATCAAAGGATTTTCTTTGGTTTATGAGCACTAAGCAATAGTGAGGAAACTCTGGTGGCCTAGTGGTAAGAAGCTGCTCTGCAATGCTAAAGGCTCATGGTTCTAACCCAACAGTTGCTTTTCCGAAGAAGGATGGGCAGTTTCCTCCTAAGTAATGTAGAGCCTCTGAAAAGCTGCTGGAGGGTCAGCTATGAGTCATTTCCAGCTGGATAACACATAAAAATAGCAGCCAATAGCAGTGTAGTTGAGTTCCAGTCTACACAAATTTAAGAGGAGTATGTGGACTCATGGAAGAAAAATTAATTACCTAAGGCTTTAACTGAAGTGCCCAAATAGGAGTCTGTTGGTTAGAAGTCTCCTCCCACAACAACTTAAAGTCTTACAAACCCAGTGGAGGGTTATTATGAATTGGAATCAATGCAATAGCAAAGAGTTGGGTTGAGTTTTAGTTTGCTTGCTGTTAAGTGGTCTAAGTAACCATAGGGATTCTTTTCATTTGTTGTTTAAGACTGCATGGGGGGAGGGGGGGAGGCGCGCACACACACACACACACACACACACACACACACACACACACGGAAAACAGCAACTGTTCCAGTTACTGAAAGTCAAGGAAGAGCTAGTTTACACCAGCATTGTGTTGGAAAGGAAGAAGATTGAAAAGTAAGAAGTGGAAGAATCAGTCGGTAGGCTGATTGTGGTCTCATGCATGGCTGCTTTACACTAAAACAATTAAAAATAAACTCACGTATGGGGACCCAAGGGAGGAAGGGGTGGGAGCAGAGGGGTGAGGATGAGTAGGGGTGAAATCTCAGGGCTGTACAATTTGGCAGGTGGAGGAAGTGAGTGAAGGAAATGGAAACGATCTGGAAAGACCTGAAAAGACAGAGTAATGGTGGACATAGTCCAATGGGGATTAATTTTTATAAAATATAATGAATGGGAATGATTGCACGAAACATAATATGGATAAAGAGTAGTATAAAACACAATGTATATGAACTTTGTAAGCAAACCAAAATAAAATTTAAAAAGAATAAGTTGGATGGGAACAAGAAAGAAAAAATAAAAGGTAAGTCTGTTTATCAGCTTGCCTCTGGGCTGCGCCGTGAAATTTGCCCTTGAGCTCTTCCATTCTGTGAATAAAAAAAGATCAGCTCAAGGAAATGGCTGTGAAAAGAAAGAGTATTTTTACCTAGAGACTGATGAAGAGTGCCTAGTCCTTTAGATTCAACTTTCGAAGAATGAAACTTGAGCAGATTTGGGGAGGTAATAGTAGTCTAGGAATAACACATCAACTTGAAGGTTCTCCAAAGGAAAAAGAACAATCCACCCCGTAAAGTTAATGTACCAGCAAAGGCATTTAACTTTTCTGTCATCTCTTTCACCCCCTTGCTCATTAGTAAGTGGAATAAAGTAGATTTTCTAATGGAGAGAGTCCATTCTTATTGAAGGGACAGAAGCAACTCACTCAGAAGAAACAGTGGAGTTTAGAATTTAAGTCAAAATGCCAACACTTAATATGTTGTTGTTAAGTGCCATTAAGTCGTAGACGTCTCATAGTGGCCCTATGAACGAAAGACCTGAGTATTGTTCATAAAGTTTCCAGAAGCAAGCCGTTTCAGAAGTGGATGCCACTCCTGCTTCCAAGCTTGTTTTAATCAGGAAGCTCCACCAAACACTGTCCACTATGGGTAACCATTACTGACTTTGGCAATCAGTGTCACACTTAATATAGTCACCCAATAAAAGGAATTTGACAGTTTTGGAGGTTAGTGACTTAATTAATTTTGCCTTTCCCCTTAAATGCCTGGCTTAGCATCAGAAGGGGAAGAATTTGTTTGATTGCCCAAAGGGCTTCAAACTGGTTCATCCAGTTTGACCTTCCTCTTGAGAATTTGCATTTCCCCCAAATATACTGAATCAGAGTTTACATTTGTAAAGACTCACCATCTGATTCTTACACATACTTGTATAGTTTGTTAAGTAGGGTATGGAAGCAGAGCAAGTCAGTTCCAAGCACTAGTTTCCTAAGATTGCTTTAACAAATTTCTGCAAACTCAGTATCTTAAAAAACTAGAAATTTACTATTTCATAATTCTGGAGGCTGTGAGCCTGAATCAAGTTGTTACCAGCCCTGTGCTTCCTCCAAGGACTCTATGGGATAGTTCATTTTTCTTTTATTTTCCAGTGCTGGTGACTACTAACATTCTGTGGCGGTCCTTGATTTGTAGGTACATTACTCCAACTTCTGCCTCCATCTACACATGGCCTTTATCCCTCTATCTGTGTTTCAAATGTCCCTCTCCTTTTCTTATACAAGCATCTAGCTTATTGTTACTAAGAGGGACTCAAACAATAGTTAATCCTCCAGGAGTTTTCCAAGGATTTAAATTGGATGCGAGGAGATTGCCTATCTTTTTTCTGTGGAGCAACTAGTGGATTCCAACAGTCGGAGAATTCTGATGTCCAAATTACAGAATTTGGATTAGTAGTGAAAATCCATACAGACTACACCACCAGGGCTCCCCTTAAAAACCACTTTTGTTGCTGTTGTGTACCATCAAGTCAGAAATGACCATAATTGACCATTCTATGGGTTTTCAGAGTCAGTTAATTGCATTGTCCATATTTCTTCCATGGAGCAGCTGATGGATTAGAACTATATGCCTTTGGGATTGCAATGTACCTTCTTGCCATGAGGCTACCAGAGGAACCTTAAAAAATGCTAAGCAGCAACAATTTTGAAAAGTACTGTATTACATAAAAAAGACTGGAGAGCATTATGCTGAGTGAACTATCTCATTCTCATAAGGACAAATACTGCATAAGATCATTATTGTAAAAAATATAAGGATAACTAATAAAATGTGGATAAAAGTCCAAAGGGAAGAGGGAGACAGGGGGCTGAGGGGGGGAGGGATAGAAATCATGGGATCACAGAGTTCTGTAGGCAGAAGAAGTAAGGAATTAGGAAAGATCCAGTGGGTACCTAAAAAGATAGGGTGACAGTAGGCATAGATCAATGGTGATTCATTTTATAAAACACAATATATCAGAATTATCATATGAAACACAATGTGAATGAAGCACAGTGTACATGAATGAAACACAATGTATATGTATTTTGTATATAAACCAATCTAAAAGTTTAAAAATTTAGACTGAAAAAACAAAACACTAGCATTTGGATTTTTATGGCTCACCCCAAGTCTAGGAGAATCTTACCTCAAAATCTTTTTTACATCTGCAAAAATCATTATTCCAAATAAATTCACATTCTAAGGCTGTCATGGACTTGGGAGGACACCATTCAATCTACTGTAAGTGATGATTGCCATTTAGTGCCAGAGGGACAGCTTCTCAGAGGGCACCTTTTATAGTAGAGTAGGAAAGACCACATATAATAGTCAAATGAATAAATATAGTAAAACTAATGAGTGATTACATCTGGATAAGGCAGCCTGACACAAAAAACCATACACACTTGAGGCTCTCATTTTAGTAAAATAAGAACAGAAATACCAGAAAGTAAGTGTTGGGCTGATAAGCATCATGAATGACCACTTGCTCTATTGGAGAAAGATGAGAGTCTGCCTCTGAAGAAATGGGCAGCCTTGGAAACTCTATGGGGCAGTTATACACTGTGAATTAGAATCAACTTGACAATCACTACTATGACAAATGATGTCTGGTTGGCTTTTTGTTAAGAGGCTAGATGTTATTTGAAAACATCATTCTAAGATAACTTTCAGGGGAATAAAATATTTTGCCATTGTCAAAGTTCTTTTTTTTTTCTGTAATCTTATCAATCAGCTTAATTGAAGAAAAAGAGGAAAAAATGAAGGTTTCTCTTTTAACTTTTGTACTTCTGTGGTCTTGGCCTCCAGGTCACTGTGAAGCCCCCAGACAATTTCTATTTGCCAAGCCTATAATTCCGATTGAGGAGTCTGAGTTTCCAATTGGGATTTATTTGTATTACGAATGCCTTCCTGGGTACCATGGGAACATCTTCTCTATTACCTGCCAGGAAAATTTGGTCTGGTCAAGTGCTGAGGATGCCTGTACAAGTGAGTAGCTCTGAGTTCTATTTGTCAAACTGTCTGTGAGACATAATTCGTTCAAGATTTGGAGGCAAGATATCTGCTTCTATGGAAGGTAACCTTTAAGTAAACCATTTTCATTGCTTGAATGTCTGAACCTTGACTAGAATTTCATGGAAAAGGCCTTCACAAACAGAGCTGAAGGAAAAGCATCCATTCACTAGGAGTTGGAAGTCACTTTTAATGGCAGAAACCATAAAATAGATTAATCCAATGTTCACATTACACCGTTGGCTGTTCCAGATTGTTTATGCTCTTGTTATCCAAAGTTTATTAATGGCTACCACATATGGATTGTTATCATTGTTGTTGCTGTTGTAGTTGCTGGGTTTCATCTGGTTACCTATGCCTTACAAAGAGCCTGTTAACAACACTATTCTGTACCATTCCACAATCTCTAATAAGCTTGAGCTCATTCTACTACTTGTAGTGTCAGTTTACTTCATTGAAGGTCTTCCTCTCCATCTTTCCCAGCATGGTGTCTTTTTCATTTCAGTTTAGGCAGGTTTTCGAGACTGGCCCCTCATGACAACATGCCCAAATTCTGTGAGACACTTTCATCCTCCTTCCCTCTAGGTGCACCTCCCTGAAGACCACCTGGTTTGTTCTCTTAGCTGTTAAGAATTCTTCACCAACACCACAATTCAAAGGCATGTTTCTTCTTTTGCTCTTCCTTATTCATTGTTAATCTTTCAAATGCCTAGGAAGTAATTGAAAAGACCATGGCATGGATCAAGGCTTAGTCTTTAAATTAACATCAATGTTATTAACACTTTGATAATAGATTTTCCCAATGGAACCACACAATGAGTACTGATTGGTTGTGAATCCATGAAAAATTCAGTAATTGACAACTTTAATCTCTTCTCCAGCAATCATGATGCTTCCTATTGGTTCAATAGTGAGGATTTTTGTTTTCTTGATGTAGAGATATAACCCATATTTTAGGCTGTATTGTCTTTGATCTTCTCTCATATTCTTCATTTCCTACAAGCAACATTGTGTCATCTGCCTAATGCAGACTGTTAATGAGTCTTCCTCCAAATTTGATGGTTGATGTTGTGATGTGCTATCAAGTCACTTGCAACTCATAGCAACCCTATGTACAATAGTCCTGAAACCAGCTCTATTCTGTGCCAACTTTATTGTCTCTGATAACATACCCTCAATACCACAGTCAGTGTATCAAACCATCTCATTGATGGTCTCCCCCTCTTTCTCCATCACACCACCCTTCCAAGCATGATGTCCCTCTCCAAGGACTGGTTCCTCCTTGCAAAATGCCCAAAGTATGTCAGATGAAGCTTCAGAATTCTTGGCTCCGAGGAGCTGGACAGTTACACCCTCTCTAGGATGAACCTGTTTGTTCTCCTGGCAGTCCATGGTACATTCAAAACTCTTCTCCAGCATCACAGCTCAAAGACATCAATTCTCTTTCTATCATCCCTAGTCATTGTCCATTTCTCTGATGCCTAGCAAGCAATTGTGAAGACTATGGCCTGGATCAGGTGCACCTTATTCTCCAGACTGATATTGTTGCTCTTCAGTGCTCTGGAGAGGTCCGTGATAGCCAACTTTCCCAATATAATTTGTCTCTTGATTTTCTGGATGCTGGTACCAAGCAAACTAAAGCTGTTAACAGTCTCAAGCTCTTCACCATCGATCATGATGCTGCCAATTTGGCCCAGTGGTGCGAAGCTTTGTTTTCTTGATGTGGAGCTTCAATCCATATGAAGGCTGCAGTCCTTGATCTTCTGCAGCCAACACATCAAATACTCCTCAGTTTCAGCAAGCAGGGTTGTGTCATCTGCATAACGCAGGTTGTTCATGAATCTTTCGTCAATCCCAAAGGCATATTCCTCCTCATAAAGCCCAGCGTCCCGGATAACCTGTTCTGCATAGAGATTGAAAAGGTATGGAGACAGAATACATTCCTGGCATACACTCTTCCTGATTTTAAATCATGCAGTGTCTCCTTGCTCTGTTCTGATCACTGCCTCTTGGTCCAAATATAGGTTTCATGTAAAGGAAATCAAATGTTCTTGCCCATTTTTCCCAGAGTCAGCCACAGTTTGTTGTGATCCATACAGTCAAATGCCTTTGTATAGTCAATGGAACACAGTGTTTCCTCTGGTACTCCCTGCTTTCAGCCAAGATCCATCTAGCATTAGCTATACTATTCCTAGTACTACGGCATCTTCTAAAACCAGCCTGCACATCTGGCATTTCTCTGTTGATGTACTGCTCCAGTCATTTTTAAATGATTTTCAGCATTCTTCTTTATATAGTCCAACTTCTCAAATCATTTGCCCAGCTTGCATATTGAATACATATAAAGAAATGGTGTGACCCTGACACAAGCCTTTACTGAGTTAAGTCATGCACTGCTTTCTTGTTCTGTTCAGACAACTGTTCTTGGTCTACTTGTAAGTTTTGCATAAGCACAAGTAAGCGTTCTGAGATTTCCATTCTTCTCAACATAATTTGTTATGATCTACACAGTCAAATGCATTTGTATAGTCAATAAATCACAAGTAAGCCTTCCCTCCATCCCTACTCTTTCCCCCCCTCATCCTTCTATTTTCACAGTAGTGAGGGTTTTGTTTTTATTGTGTTTCACTCATGTACATTGTTTTTTGGGGGGGGTTTCCCACCCCTTTTCTCTACTCACCAACCTGTGACCCCATAATATCCCCCCCTTCACACCCCTGTTCCCTCTCCTTCCCTCATTGGTTAACCATACACATCTTACCGGTTATCCTTCTGTTTTTACAATAAGGTCTTGTACAGTTCTGTTTCACCTGAGTTTTGTTCACTCACCATAATGCTCTCTAGCCTCTCCTGTGTTACACAGTATTTTTAATAATTGTTGATCCTGAGTGTCGCACAGTTTTCCATCATGTGAATGTCCCACAATTTCTCAATCCAGTCATTTGTTAATGGACATTTGGGCTATTTCTATGTTCTTGCTATTGTGAATAAGACAGTGAACTTTTTTCTGGTATTCTGTTCCTTCAGCCCAGATCCACTTGTTGTTGTTGCTGATGATGATAATGATGATGATGATGATTGCCATTGAGTCAAACACGACTCGAAGTGACTCTATGAACAAAAGACCTAATGCCTTTCCCTAACCATCATCGCTTCTCCAAGTTCAAAGAGTTTTCAGAGGCATATGGTTTAGGAAGTGGATGCCACTCCTGCTCCCAAACCTGTTTCACAACTAGGAGCTCCACCAAACACTGTCCACACTGGGAAACCATTCTGGTATTTGATACCCCAATGGCTCAAGGTTCAGCATCACAGCAAACCCAGGTTACTTCATACAGCACATTGACAAAGAGTGATGTGCAAAGTGAAAGGGTGTTCCTCCAGATATAACAGCAGTGTCACCCTGGAGACTAAGGTTGGTCTTTGCAATCACTTGTTATGCATCAGAGAGTTGGACAATGACCAAGGAGGACAGAAGGAGAATTGATGCCTTTGAGCTGTGGTGCTGGAGAAGAGTATTGAGAATATCATGGACTGCCAAGAAAACAAACAGTTTGATCCTGGAAAGGGTTAAACCAGGTGGCTCCTTGGAGGCAAGGATTCTGAGGCTCCGTCTAACATACTTTGGACATGTTGTGAGGAGAGACCAGCCCTTGGAGAGTTTAGGGCTGTTGTACGTAGGGTCGCTATGAGTCGCAAGCGACTCGATGGCACATAACAACAACAAGTCACACTTAGCAGTGGTTAAGTGTCATCAAGTCGAATACAACTCAAAGTAAGCTTTGCAAAAAGATTCTGTTCTATAACATCATTTCTGTACATTGATAGAGTTTAGAGAATTTGTAGAGTTTCCAGAGGCATCTAGTTTAGGAAGTGGATGCCACTCCTACTTTCCAACATGAATGATCTGGAGGCTCGTCCAAACATTGTACATAATGGGTAACCATCATGGTATTTGACATAACTATGGGACAGTGTGCAGCATCACAGCAACCCCAAGTTGTTCAGGAACTAAAGTAGACTTACAAAAAATATTTGTATCTTCATGTGTTGGAATTTCCCAGGAATTTGATAAATTATCAGCATTAATATCCCTCATGCCAGAGGGGCATGTTGTCATGAGGTGCCAGACTTGACAACATGCCTAAATTGAAATGAAAAAGTCACCATGCTGGCTGGGAAAGGTAGAGAGGAAGACCCTCAATGAAATAGATTGACACTACGAGTATTAGAATGAGCTCAAGCTTATTAGAGATTGTGAGACGGTACAGAATAGTGCAAGGTTCAGATCTGTTGTTCAGGCTTTTTTTTTAGGCTCACAGGAGCAGAGGAGTCTCTGGGTAGTACAAAGAGCTAATGCGCTTGGCTACTAACCAAAACACTTCAGGTTCAAGTCCATTCAGATGTGCCTTAGAAGAAAGGCCTGGAGATTTACTTCTGAAAAATCAACCACTGCAAACCCTATTCAGCAGAGTGGCTCTCTGGCATGCATGAGGTCACCACCATAAATCAAAGTAGACTTAATTACAACTGGTGTGGGTGGGAGCAGAAGCCATATATGACCTTCCTTAAAAAGGCAAAGTAGCCTTTTTAAAAGTGATAGTCTTTAATTGTGTCATTTTGAAATTATAGTTAGTTTCTTGAAACTAGCCAATTCTATGAAATAATCACTCTTCTCTCACTCAGTATGCTACCTTCCAACGTGAAATTTATAGCAAAAGGAAATTGAACTCTACAGCTGCTCCCAAATTTTTTGGTTTTATTCTTCTAGGGAAATCGTGTGGATATCCTCCAGAACCCTCCAACGGAATGGTGCTTATAAACACAGACGTCTTGTTTGGCTCAACAGTTAATTATTCTTGTCATGAAGGGTGAGTTGAGAGCATGGCCTCTTGCCATGCGTTCTAGAACATCAGTGCCCACCTCTAACCTCATCTTCATACACAGTCTTAGCTAGGCAAAACACACTGCTGCCAACTACGCTTTCAAAAGTATGCAATAGGATAAAAACAGTGACTGGAGTACAGGAATATAACCAGAGACTAGAAAAACCAGGAGCAATCTATAGTAAACCAGAAGAGGGCACCACACTCTGGTTGAAGACAATGTATGTCAAAGCTGCTGTAGTATTCTGCTTTAAAAAGAGCAGTCTATCAATTAACTAAAAGGGAAAATGTTATTTGACTCATATGGACATCCTTAGCTGAGACCAGCAAGTACTGTATCTGACTTGGAGAACCCTAAAGCACCTATTAAGGAGCGCTTGTGTGGTGTAGGGAACTGTGTTGTAAGTCAAAACCAATCCTATCTGGTGATTAAAAGCCACCAGCAACTTCACTGAGGGAAGATAAGCAACCGTCTCCTATGCAATTTATAGCCTCAGAAACCAAATGAGTCAATTCTGAGTCAGAGGCGGGGAAGGGAGAAGGAGGAAGAGAGAGAGGGAGGAGAGAGGGAGGGAGGGAAAGTTGATGGAGAGGGAGAGGTAGAAGAAGGGATGGAGGGAGGGAGAGGGAAAGAGAGCATGCGCGCACATGTGAAAGATAAACAGCAACTCTGGGAAATGTAGGCATCAAATTGCCCACAGGGTGGGGACATAGATGAGTTTTTTGTGCTTTATTTGCACATTGACTTAACTTAGTAAAAATAGTAATAATTTTAGTACTTAGAACTTTAGGATTTTAGTACTTAGTGCAAGAATGTACTAATTTTCAACTGCCACAATAAATTAAAGGAGAAAATAGACACAGGTTAAACCTCCCTGAAAAACTTCCCCTGGTAATCAATCCCATGCTACTCTACCCAAGCACTGTTATGATCTAGCAGGTTTGAAGAAGGGTGAAGCAAGAGGGGTGAATTCACTCTTTGTCGCTTTGTCTGAGCCTGGGAGATCTTAACAGCTTTCCACACAATCTTTTGACAAATGACTTCTTATTCTGAATCAGCATAGATCTCTCCATAGTGAAAAAAACAACATATTATCAAACACAAGATAAGATACAGGGGGAAAAAAATTAGGGTCCAAAATAGGAAGTCAAAGAAGATCCTTCCACACCACAGCCAGTAAACAAGGGGAACCATGAAAATCTCTCCTGTGCTTGTAGCCAAGAGTCTGTAAACTATGGGAGCCATTTACAAGATTGAATGATCAGAGATCAGGAAAGTTTACATTTTAATGTTACACACAGTCAAGTACAAGGAGTACTGAGGCATAGGTTAGATGGCCCCATCCTAATAGAAAAATATTTAAGAAATCATGAGAAATTCTCCCAAATTCATTAAGGATAGACAATACAAAGATGGGAGGTGAGGGAGAAATATTCTCTCTCACATGTATAAACATGCAGCTGAAATTCTAAAAAAAAATAAATAAATAAATAAAGCAAAAAGCAGTGAAGGATTGCTGTATATAAAAGGGTCGTTGTTGTTGGTGTGTACTGTCCAGTCAGAATAGACTCACAGCTGACCCTTTAGCAAGTTTTCAGAGGTATTTAATCCCATAGGAGGAGACTGCCCATCTGTCTCCCATAAAGCAGATGGTGGCCTCAAACCGTGCACCTTCAGGATTGCAGCACAGCATCTTGCCACTAGGCCACCAGAGCTCCCTAAAGGAGGATATAGCAAAAGAACAGATGATCCTAAAGAATAACTAACAAATATAAGAATAATAACAAAGGGCCCATTCCTACAGAGAAGAAATTTGGGGTAAAGGAGGACTAGATAGATGTAACATAAGACTAGATGATCCTAAAGAATAACAAATATAAGAATAATAGTAAGGGGCTCGATCCTACAGAGAAGAAATTTGGAAAAAAAAAAATGCATAGATATAAAAACCTCACTGTCATTAAGTCAAAACCAACTTATAGCTCACCGGGTTTCCGAGGCTGTCTGTTGAGCATACAATCACCTCCATGTAGCAACACTCTTTCCCACTTTCCTGTTTCCATTAGTTCTTTCCGTCCCCTTCCCACCTTCTAGCTTTGCTTTTGAGCAAATGCTGTTCTTTTGGTCTCACATGGTTCTTTGTTTGAGGAACATGGGTGATGCTTTTCACTATATAGGCCTATCTATTTGAAGCTTCACCTGACATACTTTGGACATGTTGCAAGGAAGGACCCATCCTTGCAGAGGGACGTCATGCTTGGGAGGGTGGGGGGACAGCACAAGACAGGAAGACCTTCGAGATGGATTGACTGGGGTAATGAAAGTAGGTGTTTTAGAGAAAATAAGATTGGCACAGGATAGAGCAGATTTTAGGACTGTTGTGCATAGGGTCGCTATGAGTTGCAGGCAACTCAACATCACTTAACAACAACAGCATTTGAAAGCTGACCATTGGGAACAAGTTCAGTTCCTGGCCTAAAGGATACCTAAGGTTCATAGTCTTGGAGTTTTGTCCATTTCTAATAGACAAGTAAGTCCAGGACATGTGTGTGTTTTATGGCGTTTAACTTTGTCCTGTTTCTCCCCTACTCTGTTCTCCTATTGTGATCGCAATCAGAGCTGTCAGTACTAGCTGAGTTCTTCTGGAAGCCTGTTCTTCTAATGTAACCTGAGTGGTTCATGTTCTTTAAGTCTGTGGACTAAATATTTCCTTGGGTATTTTATTTTCTTCACTCTTCTTTGATCCTGGGGGGGTGGGGTGGGGGAGGAAAGACCAATATGCCTCTTGGATGGCTGCTTGCAAGCTTTTAGGACTTGGGTTACATGCTCACCATAAGTTATAGAACATTTTCTTCACAGCCCATGCTTCTCCAGTTGGCCTGGCTATCCATCCCCTATGACCATCGTCCTAAGCCCCATGATTTGGTCCTTCAAGGTGTTGGTTATAGCTCAGAAGTTTCAGTACTTTTGTCCTATGTATGCATCTGGATAAATTTTAATATATTTATTGCACATACAAACACATACATAGAAATATATCCTCTGTAGAACCTACGTACACACTTCTATATACCATCCCATCCTGTTCAGTTTGCCCTCTACCTACACATTCACACCTAAATTACTTTGTTATTGACGTTATTACAGGATTGTGTACATAATAGTATTTACTTTATTGCTTTTCACTGTTGCCTACTTCTTGGTGTCTTCACCTTTATCTTGATCATGTTATGCTGACCTCATTCTTGCTGCATATTGCTTTCTCCTTCACCCAAGTATATGTCTATCTACTAGGATATGTCTTTCCAATTACTGATGTTCACTCTCTTCACCCGCCAGCCATCAAAGAATGTTTCCTTAGTGTATATAAACCCTGTCTTGACTCTTTTGCAGTATTTGTCTCATACAATAATTGTTATTTTGTGATTGACTTATTAAATCCAGTATCATATATCTCAGGTTCATCTGTGTTGTAATTTGCTAACCATACAATTTATGTCTGGGTTCTGTTACACCAGTTCTGTTTCACTGGTCTTTATGTCTGTCACTAGACTAGGAACAGATTGTTTTGAGTCTCATGGCTCTGAGATCCAGTAGTGCAAGGCTTCCTCCTTCAATCTGAATAAGTCATTCTTTACTTATCCAGGCCCACTTTCATTTCCACACAAAGTTTGTGATTAGTTTTTTCATCTTGTTAAAGAATGCTGTTGAAATTTGGATCAGTATTGTATTATGTAGAACACGTTGGAAAGAACTGATATTTTTAGTGTTAAAGCTTCTTATCCAGGAGCAAGGTATGAATTTTCATTTATGCAAATCTCTTTTGGTTTCTTGCAGTTCTATGTCAAATTTTGCATTCTTCCCCCCCCCCCCCACCAAGGGGTCTCTGGTGGCATAGTTCCTAGAGAATTGCACAGCTAACTCAAAAGCAGCAGCCTTGGTGATTTAAATATACCAGCACCTCTCCAGAGGAAAGATAGCCAACCTTCTCTCATGAGATTTACAGCCTTCTGAAAACCTGCTGGAGGGCCAGCTATAAATCAGTTTTGATTCAATGACAATGAGAGGGTAAAAGAGTTTATATCCCTGGTTATATTTCTTCCTAATTGTTTTAACCTTTGGAAAATAATTGTTAAGTGGTATTATTTTCCTGATTTCCTTTCAATGTTCTGTCAGGTCTTGAGGGAAATGTCTGTCCTTTCAACATCTGTGCATTGAGTGTTCCTTGGAGGTATCCAAATGTTTTTGCTTTCTCCTGAGGAGTCAAGGAGGCTCCCAGCACAGGGACTTGGTTGCAAAGGTCACACTCTGCTCCAAGCTCTTCTTTCTCACTGTTACTGTTTACACAACAGCCTCCTGGTCCAGGTATAGGTTCTGCATGAGCACAATTAAGGGATATTTATGATATTAGTGATGCTTTATGTTAAAAAAAATCTTTGAAAATTCTCTCTGTAGTTTTGTGTGTATGTATTTTTTATTTTTTGCCTCCTCCTATTTTGGAATTCCAGTCACTTAAATTCTTAGCCTTTCATAATTTTCTTTCTCTCTTCTCCTATTTTATTTTATTTCCCCTTAAATTTGCATCAAGGAATTTCCCCTCAATTTTAGAGATTTAGTCTTTCTTCCATTTCTGCTTCTGTGTATTTCCCTTGGATAGTCTATTTCTGAAATATTTTTTAAATATTTTGGATTTCTGCTTGCCATTTTTGTATGATTTTAATTGTATGTTTACTTTGTCATTTTGTTCTTTATATTACTTCCCTCAATTCTTTTGAAAATTCTTTGTCAGGTAGTTCACTACTACCTAATATTTTCTCTTCTGGTAGGTTTTCTGATTTCCCCCCCCCCCTTTTTGGTCACATACTGGAACCATCTTGTCCAGTGTCTTTATGTGATTTTATATTCTCTATTGGCTTTGTAGTCTTGAAATGGCATAATATTTATTTGTTTCTTCATACTAGGCATGTTTTGGGGTTTTTCTCTG